AACTGTGACCGCCTCGGGAAGAGAATCGGCTGCCATACCGGCAACGAGAGTACGCAACTCCGGGACAAAGTTTACCAATTTCTTCTTGCCCGACAGGGCAGCAAGGAATCGCGATCGCACGCGATATGCCTGGTTAGGCGACAAGAACACTCGTGAAAGCTGCAGCTTTAGCGCCATCTAGGAGGAAAACACCGCTAACCGAAATGCCAGACGTCAGTGCCCATTCTCGCGCTCGACTCCTGAGCTTAGAGATAGCTAGCGCCACGCGCTATTGATCGGTCTGAGCATGGCGGACGCCATGGCCATCTTGACCTTCTTCACCCAGAGCAGGGGATTTTCTTCATCCTTGCTCTCGAAGTTCTTAACACTCACCTAGGCGGCTTGGGTCGGGTGGTGTTATCCGTCGCCGACGGTGGCGTCATGGACGCAGTCGATGCCAACATCTTCTGCTGCAAGTGCATTAACAGAGCTTTTTCGTAGCTTGTAAACGCCTCTAGACGTGCGCTGGTCACTTTAGGTCCTTGCAAAGCGAGGTGTTGCACGCCCTCAGCGTCAAGCAGAGGCATTAGTAAGACCTTACTGCATGCCCCGGGGCAAATAGAAGAACTACTCCATCCTCACACAGAGTCAGTCGTAACGACTCGGGTGTAGATTGACTACAAGTGCTACCAAGTGCAGCGGGGCTGCCGAAGCTCTTTTGCTTAGAGGAAGCTTAGTTAAAATCGGCGATCTTCGTTCTATACTTAGTACGAGCGGATCACAATCCGCTCACTCCAAGATTAACCACAATCTTAATCCAAGGCTAATTGACTCTTCCATCTAGAATGTAAGTTGTGTTTCTTGGTTTTATCTGCGGCAAGCCGCCTATATCTTGACTTATGGGTTTTCTATATGGTAAAACCTAATTAAATGCATACCTTCTGGCTGTTTAGGCCATGTACTGATTTCTTACTGAAGTGAAGCCACAACTTTGTGTGCTTACATCATTTTTTGTAACCCAAACCATACCAGGGCACGTGAAATCTCGTTATAGGAGCCTTATCAAAGCTCGATGGTGGCAAAGGCTCCTTCGCATCCTCAAATTCAGGCGCGATTTTGCTCTGCGCTCGTCGTCGGCTCAAGTCATCTTCGATGCGATTCATTGCGTGTGGGATCACGAATAATCAAGGCCCAGAGCCGGAGAAAATCTGAAGGGAACGTGGGTACGCCCACCCGTAGGGTGGTAGTGTAATCGGCCAGACCCATTACACATGTTGTGTGAGCAACATAATTCTGTGGTTAATATTAAATATAAACCCTGTATAGTTGTATATCCTCGATTCTGTTTCTACCACCTCTTTTTAAGTAATCATCTGCTATTTGATAGTGAGGAACACGCGGTGAAGCGTGATAACTTATTTAAGTCTTCCTCAGTAACTGCGTGTACACGGATGGACGATTTCCGTTACAGTAAAGCTGAAGGGTGGGAAAAATACATAAGGATGACTAAGGATGCAATGCAAATTGAGCGGTAGCGTTGGATTGTACCTCTGGGTATGGATAAAGGAGTTGAGTGCTCGAAAGCTGAACATTTGTTAGCAAGAAACATATTCGCCTGATGCAGCGCATGACACAGAAGATCATGCACGCACGATATGTCCTCCACACGCAATCTGCGAAGAGCAATCGGGTGGTGTGTAGTAGAACAAAGTAAAACATTGGTTTGGTGCGACCAGGAATTAGATACCGAATATTACCCATTCAGACTATCCTCTCTTAAAATGAATTTTGTTTTAAGGTATCAGCGTCTTGTTGGCCCCGGGATAACCAGCAATTTCTCACTCAGTACAATAGTCAGCACGAACTTTAAGAGTCAAAACTCCTCTGTGCGGGTGGTGAGCCTATCGTCCTTAGACGACCGATGCACAAATAGAGAGTATTATCCGTCGGATGAGACATGAAGTGTTCAGTAATCTTAGCTGCACGTTCCCAACCGAGAGCCTTTCAAGTCATCATTATTTTTGCTCGCGTAACAGAATTTTTGTGTATTATTAAAACTCACCAACAGATTTAGTAAGTACGTATGTAAAAATAAACCATATATGGGCACATGTATTAATAAACCATATATGGGCAAGAGGATATGTCCCACAAACCACAATTTGACTTTCGACTACAACAAGATGAATTGATCATATTTTATACGATACTTTGAGCCTAGCTGAAAAAGGACAACGGTGTAATATCTTACGCGCACTATCATAGGTGCATAATCCCGTACAATCTCCAAATAAGACTTCACAAAGGTCGCAACCATCGCGTCATAAAATAAGATAGTGCACTTGAAGTGAAGGCACTACAAGCACCCAAAAGCACCACAAATTCTTGTTTCTATCTGCACCTCACTCGCGCACCTATTCGATTGAAAGTCTTTAGCTAACTTTCTTGTCTAGCGTATGGTTCGAGAAGTCATCGAGAACGGCGCGGCCGTTTTGCCGATGTCATGAAAGCCTTGTTTGGTGACACAGGAAAGAAAGCACTGGATAGAAATGGTCACAGTGGCTCCCTAAGGCCTGACACAGCATCCCTAGATCCACTCAATGATATATGACCAAGCAACTTCCCGAGTTTAGGCATTATTTGAGATTTGTCTCACTTCTTTACTAATATACCCGTTTGTAGAGTCGAAGAGTCTTACAGCATCACCTTTGACGAGTTTCGATTCGTTATAATTTGGAATTGGCTCAGCAAATCGAGTGCAAGAGTTGCAGAGATTTACTCTTAAATCATTTTAGACGGATCCACGTCAAGATTCTGGTCTGATTCCTCAGATTTAACCCGTCGCGCCGCGGCGGAGCTCCGACACCTTTCTGCGTAGGACTACAACCCAATCGAAGTGCAAATATATGCTTGAATATTGCTTCGATCGCGCCTTCTGATAACGCGGCAAACCACTCCCCAAGAAGCCCGCTGACGACTGGTGCTGACTTCCGTGCAGACACACGAAGCGCACGTCGACGTCGAGGTGGACACTTGCTCCCGGTGTGTAAGCATGGGTATAGACAGCATCTTATGAGAAAGAAGAGCTAATTTATTCAACAGCTCGAGGTTTGATTTCGTCAAAATTGCCCTTGCTTCTTTGTTGCTTATGATTTGCCACTCTCCGTAAAGTTCGCCCAAGTAAGTTACAGTCTCGTGAAGCGCAATGCGCTGGTCTAGTTCCAAGTTTATAGCTTTGTCAGCAACTGTTTCAGCAGAGTCATGGGCGTATACAGCGCTATTTATAGCCTGAAAAGGAGGGTCCATGGACATTGTCCTCATATTGCTTGTCAAGCAGAGCTGGGATAGTACGACCCTCACGCGGCTAAATTCATGTAGGTCCTTTCCGAGACTCTGAACGAGACATGAATTTTCTCTCAGATGCGTGCTGAGTCGCGCAATCGGACGATTGGCTCGAGGAACCCCAAACCATTATATCGGACTGCTGCTCAGGATGAATGGGAGCCTAGCTAGAGGGAATTGTTGACACGCTGATTTGTCTTCAATCGAACGCTTTGCATTAAAGTAGCTCATGAGAAAGGGGTTGTGATAATGCTATTGTCAGCCCAAGTAAATACAGGATCGACGACCTAAGGGCAAAAAGGGTGTCACTCGATCTCTTTCTCTCCAATACCGTAATGGATCTAGTGTTGTGAAGGAGCAACCTGGGCTAAAACCTCCAGAATTTGCTCATGTAGGCAGTATATTAGTCTTGTTGTCGACAATGAAGTCAAGCGAATTCTACGCTTTTTAATATAAGTATGTCATCCGTAGTATACCCTGGCTTGCAGATGGCGCCACGCACTTGTAGCAAATCTCTTCGAGATGAAGTCGTCGATGTTGCTACAAATCGTAGCCAGATTGCTAGCAGCAATTCGATCAGAATCGAAAGTCTATCTTTTATCAATGCACAATGGTCCTGATCTCCGAGAGATCTACCCACAGAATTTAGAAATGTGCTTCCGCTGGTACCAAACACTCACTTCTGTATGTTGATAGACAGTTTACATTTGGTGCTAAAGCATACGCTCGAGCTCTGCGTGCACGGATTTGTTGTAGCATACATTCGAGCTGTGCCTGCACTTTTTTGACAACCAGATCGGCCTTATGGCTATGCGCGACTTTGATGAGATTATCTCTGACATTGCTCTGTGCATATGCACGATGCGGTCTAAACAACTAAGTGACCAGACAATTGAGCGTCGCTAGTGCGCGATAGACTGTTCCTCTGTCATTGTACTCATTGCAGTACGAGGAATGTTACCCCTTGTCATGAGCAGTATCCATCAACTATGTTCGGAACACAGATCAAGGTACAATCGATCATGCTACCCTGCAACACGTCCGTACCAGGTATTCGCATTTGGACTGAGGAGGTGGCTGCACAAAGGATTCTATGAGAACGAACAATTCGACAGACTAACTGACGCAGAAAGTCGATCCCACCGGAACCCCTTCGTGCTTGTCACGAAATAGAGAATCTATGGCATCGTACTGATCCCTTTGTAATTGCCAAGTTCTAACATTTTGTTCCAGGAATCAGGTCAATCTTATGTCGGTCACCCCGATCAGAGGGTAGCAGTTGTAGTGGGTAACTCTCGTCATATGTCTGCAGCTAAGGCTGAAAAAGATCCAATAACTTCTTGTATATAGCCGTTTCACGCCTCACACTCAATTCTGTGTTTTCAAAACAGACTCATCTGTGACGCAAACTCAGCTCATGTTCCGCTTCTGACGGTACTATCTCGATGATCTCAGCATTTTACAATATTTGCACACAGTACATTGGAGTACAACCAGGCTCTACGAACTATTATGTCTGGGGTAGTGAGGTGCAATGATATCAAGCTTGAACTTTTCATTATTTTTCGACCTTGTTCTCAACCTCAGTGTTGGAGTACACCTCAATGTATTTGTTGCCCAATTACCGAAGCGAATTTAAGCTATTATCCAATTCAGTAAATCAGCATTCAAATAGAGGCTTAAAACCAGTATATTTGTGACATATTTTTACACTTTTCACTAATTCATAACCATTTCATACACCGACAAACCGCACAAGGCGACACCCGCGGAATGCGTCTGACTGCAGTTGTCGATCTAGGCGCGATGTGGTCTTTTTTTCGATGACGATGGTCGATTTAAAACTACCTTTTCTGGTCAACGCAGATTTCAGACACCAGAATCAAAGATGCAAAAGACATGAATGTAAAGTTGCACAAGGAGCTGGTGATCCCATCTGCTCATTATCACAGAGCGTCTCAGAGGCGAGAAATATCCAACGTTCATGTAAAATTACCCAAACTTGCAGGTAATCAAGAGATACCTGCAAGACAAAACGCTGTTTGGAGAAGACTTTGAGGAATAATAAAACAGACTATTTGCCGAATAAGCCCTTTGCGTTATTGGAGAGGTTTGTCAAGCTTTCCTGAGGATGTTTCCGCGGGATGATTGCGATCTGGTATGGGCTCCGCTCCTGGATCCCAGCCTCAATTACCTAAGCTGTTAGCGCAGAAATGCGCCTGCGACCGCTTCATCGACGCCAAATTCACGATCAGGCAAGAAAAGTGCTCGCTCGTGCGACGTCAGCAGCTACTACCACTGCGCCACCAAGAAATTTATCTCCAGTTCGTGTGGATCAAAGTGTTTGTTTTTTTCTTTGGGGAGAAAACAGCTTGTTGAAAAGAAATCTAAAACGTCAGAGTGGATACGATTACTTGAAAATTTCAGCACCTCGGTAACTTTATATCTCGGTATGAAGAACAAGCCATTTTTTGTCGTGACCGCATACAAGACGGCGTGTTCCATCATCAGTAAGTTGACAAGAAAATGGCTTGGTTGCGTCGCCACGTCAGTGCCTTCTGAGCGTGCGTTCTCGACGAAGGAAGCGTTGCCAATGTAAAAAGCTGCTGCTGCGCTCACACCGGACATGTCTGGACACGTAGTGATTCTCACCCAGAATGCAAAGTCGGGCTTCAAAAACGATGTCGGTGCTCCAATTTCTGATGGTAAAGGTGATTATCTTTCAATTTGGAAAGCGATCTTAGCCTTCAGTTTTTGTTCTAGAATGCGATGGCATGGCCCATGAACAACGAATCTAAGTTGAATGCGTGACGCAAGTTCTGAGTCGCTTCTTGCTTTAGAATTATGATGATTCCGGTCTTGGGATGCGGTGAGGGCGCTCTCAACAGACTGGAGCAGATTTCTCCAAATTGTCGCTGCCGGGGCACGAGAAGCGTAGCGCGCTGTTTCAATATCCTAGAATTTTTCAATGTAAGCATTAATTTATTTTACGCAAGAAATCGCATTTTCTGAAATTTCGCTTGTGCTTCTTGGCGGTTTGACGCATACACACGCCGTTCGCCGCTGGACTCGCCAAAACCACGTCCTTGCTCCGGCCAACGCAATCAATGTTGATCGCTTGCCAGATTGAGTCTTGAAAAAAAAAAAGAGACGATCTTGATGCCTTCCAATTCATCAATTTTCTCGCGAGCAAGGAAAACCAATATAATGTGACCAATATAATGTGACCAATATAATGTGTCGGTGAATGGCTGAGTCATACCTATAGCCACCCAGAGATTGTGAATGGGGATGGCGTTGCGTACAAACAGCGCCTTCTTCCGATCATGGAACTGATCGAGCAGCTGGAGGACTTCAGAGCGGTATCCAGCAACGGGATCAGAAATGGCTTGTCTGTGACGAATCATTGTTGCGTCTAGTCGCTCTCGCTCTGCTTGGATTACAGTCGAGTGTCTTGCAATCATTCGTTCAAGTGTCGCAACAATCAATTTGTCTTTGAGTGCCCTTCAGGCGACCGATATAGCTCTCGTTCACTTCATGTATAGCCCCAAGACACTGTAGGAAGGCTTCCAAACCTTTTTTTTGCGATAGTAATTCAAGCTTTATATTTCGTGATTGGCCATCTCGACAATTTTGACTGTTGGAATTTGGTTCCCTATTTTTTATCAAGCGTGTCGCGCAAATACCAAATTAAGACATTGCTCTTTCAAAAGACATGTTTTAACTGCTATCACAAACCCCATTGACTCTGCCGGCTGCAGCGATCCAAAACGGTGTATATCGTACAGCAATAGGGCGTCGAAGACGCGATCGTCATATTCGGCGCCGAGACTTGCTACATCTTGGCTCGATTGAGTTTCACTTCAAACTTTCAACTATTGTTCAAGGCCAAAGAATATTAATCGTATTGAAGGACGGCGCTCCATAGAGAGACTATCATCGAGCAGATCAGAACATTTTTATCTTGTTGCCTGAAGCCGTTTCCAGACCGACTATGCCAGACAATACTGACCCTACACGCCTCTTCTGAGCCGACAATTGGGCATTTGCATTTGGCTTAACAGGCATGAAGCAACAACGACAGAGGAAAACTGTGTAGGCACAACTTGAAATCTACTTCTGAATAATTCGCACATAATTTCATAAATTGAAGATTCGGTTTGAAGAAACGAACACAATAGCTGATACCTGTGGATTTGTAAAATGGATAACGGCGTTCTTGTAAAATTATACCACTTAGCGCTAGAAATACCACTGCGATCAATAACGTTATTTTTGAGCAAATTTTCTAAATCAGCCACGTATTGCTTCCTCACGCATTTGTATCAGTTTCTGGAATCCAGCTAAGATGCTTTGTAGCCCTTTCAGTCAATTTACAACATATTACGTATTTTGTTTTTTTTTGTAGTGATGCCCTCAAATCGTTTTCGATAAACCTGCATACTCACACACTGAATTACATAACACTATTGATCAAATAATAGTGTGTATTTAGAAGGGAAGCTCTGATGGTAGCACAGAAGTGAGAAACATGGAGTAGTCACGTTTACAAGAAGAAAATGTGCGTCCCGACTTTGCTAAGCAGACCACCGGAAAACTGGGTAAATTTGAACCAATTTTTACACTCATGTCGTTACGTGCGGCTGAGATTGCCCGGAAATTACACAAAGAGATGACGTGTATTTGATACCAATATTAATTAAGGCCCGAGAGGGGCGACATTGTATTGGCTGTAATGTACAAAACTCTTCCTCCCATTTCGAAATCTCCTTGCAACCGGAATAGGCGTCCTAAACTAGTCGCCCTTAAAACATGTACGCCGTGTCGAAACCTGTGCGCACTATGCGTCAGTCAATTAGCTTGACGGTTTTGAAGGTGCGTCGAAATTAATAGATTAATTGCTGATAGCTTTCCGGTGAACAATGAATGGGCTAACAGCTCGTTGGTCATGTCATAGACCCGCATGTCATCTAGCTGCAGTGTGCCCGTGCCTCTGTCCGTACTTGACCCTAAGGGAAGTCCTACGATTGATCAAACCTATGAGAAAATTGAAAAGAATCTTTTTACCGTGCGAAAGACCAACGGCAATAAGCCGCTGACGCTAGCCGAGAAAATCATTTACGGCCATTTGGACGATGCTACAACGAAAGCAAAGCGTGGTGAAACATATCTGAAGCTTCGTCCTGACCGCGTTGCCATGCAAGATGCTACGGCCCAAATGGCTGTACTGCAGTTTATTTCTTCTGGTCTGCCCAAGACAGCCGTACCCACAACTATCCATTGTGATCACTTAATTACAGCTGAAAAAGGATCAGACTCGGATTTGAATAACGCCAAGATCATCAACAAAGAAGTGTACGACTTTTTGTCGTCGGCTGGTGCTAAATTTGGCATGGGCTTTTGGAAGCCTGGCAGTGGCATTATTCATCAGATTGTGCTTGAAAATTACGCATTTCCTGGAGGTCTGATGATTGGAACAGACTCTCATACCCCCAACGCGGGTGGTTTAGGAATGTGCGCCGTTGGTGTGGGCGGTGCTGACGCTGTTGACGTAATGGCCGGCATGGCATGGGAACTCAAGGCTCCTAAGGTTATAGGTGTAAATCTCACAGGCAAGCTGTCTGGCTGGACATCGCCCAAAGACGTAATTCTTAAGGTAGCCGACATTTTGACTGTAAAGGGTGGAACTGGTGCAATTGTCGAGTACTTTGGCCCTGGTGTCGATTCAATCTCATGCACGGGGATGGGTACAATTTGTAATATGGGTGCGGAGATTGGCGCTACATGTTCTACGTTCCCTTACACAGATCGCATGGGTGACTACCTGCGTTCAACCAAGCGTAGCGGTATTGCTTCAGCTGCTGAGTCTTTTCAGGCTAACCTTCGCGCTGACGAGGGCGCTCATTACGACCAAATTATTGAGATCAATCTTGACGAGTTGAAGCCGATGCTTAATGGTCCATTTACACCGGATCTTGGCCATATCGCCGGCGCCGACATGAAGGAAGCATCAGAGAAGAATGGATGGCCCACGAAATTGAGTGCTGGTCTGATCGGCTCATGTACTAATTCAAGTTACGAGGATATGACTCGATGCGCGGATCTAGCCAAACAGGCCAAAGAGGCTGGTCTCAAGTTCAAGGTGCCATATTATGTCACTCCCGGATCAGAACAGGTGCGCGCTACTATCGCCCGTGATGGCATCCTGGATACGTTTTTAGAGGCTGGGGCTACAGTGCTCGCCAACGCTTGTGGCCCTTGCATTGGCCAGTGGAACCGTACAGACATGCCAATGGGGCAAAAGAATTCAATCTTTACATCGTACAACCGTAACTTTGCTAAGCGGGCTGATGGTAATCCAGCCACGCACAGTTTTGTGACGTCACCCGAATTGGTAACCGTGAGCGCTATTGCTGGCATAACTACATTCGACCCTGCTAAGGATACGATCAAGACAGCCGATGGCAAGGACTTTAAGTTCACTGCCCCTTTCGGAAAGGAGCTTCCTCCTCGTGGCTTTGACCCCGGTGAGGAAACGTTCCAGGCCCCTCCACCATCTGGCGAGGGTCTTGTTGTAGACGTTGACCCCAACAGCGATCGTCTCGCTCTCTTGTCTGCATTCGACGAGTGGAATGGCGAAGATCTAACAGATATGCCGGTTCTTATCAAAGCGAAGGGCAAGTGCACCACTGACCACATTAGTATGGCTGGTCCCTGGTTGAAATACCGTGGTCACCTGGACAATATCTCGAATAATCTGCTGATCGGTGCCGAGAACGCCGAAACGGGCGAAACGAATAGTGTAAAAAACCAGTTTACGGGCAAATTCGACAAGGTACCTGCTGTGGCGCGCCAGTACAAAGCCAACGGCGTTAGCTGGGTTGTTATTGGAGACGAAAATTACGGTGAAGGCAGCTCTCGTGAGCATGCTGCTCTGGAACCACGTCACCTCGGCGGCCGTGCTGTGATTGTCAAGTCGTTTGCGCGTATTCACGAGACAAACTTAAAAAAACAGGGTATGTTGCCGCTGACGTTTGCGAACCCGGCAGACTACGACAAAATTACGGGTAATGACAAGGTGGCCATTCTAGGCCTCAAGTCGTTTTCACCTGGCAAGCCTTTGACACTGCGTGTGACGCCAGCATCTGGTGAAGCCCCTTTCGATATTACGGTGAATCACACGTTCAACGAGGAGCAGATCGCCTGGTTTAAGAATGGTAGCGCATTGAACTTGATGAAAAAAAACAGTTTCTAAGAGATTAGAGAATATAATTCAAAAGCGATGTGATGAAAATTCTTAATAATAACAGTACGTAATTCTATGATACTAATTTAATGTAGCCGATTGTGAATTTGCGTAAAGCAGAAGTTGGTGGATACGTATCTTAAAGAAGGACATAAGCTGCACATAGTTATATGTTACTTGACGCTTGTTAAAGATGACAACGTACTTGTGTGTATGTGTTATTGGTCTGGGTTGATACGTATGTCCGCTTGTTGTAACATGTGGGGTGTTTATATATGCATCTATTTTCACTATTCCGATATAGTCTAGGCGTTAAGGATAGCTGACTTTTACGAAATAGACCTGCTTGTGTGGAAACACCACGTTTCTTTCACTTCTTTGCGACCTTGTTTCTTACATTTACCTGCCTTCTCGAATGGGCCAAATAGGGATTCATAGATGATCGTCATTCTATGCTTGATGAAGATGATGTGAGGGTCGTTCATACGTATATATTACAGTTGTATCATACTTGACGTTCTTCAGAATACGTTTCCTGGTTTTGTCTACCTTTCGATATAATCCAGGCGTTAAGGAAAGCTGACTTTCCTTCAGCAGACCAGGCATCAAATATCGGTGTAAAAATATCATGCCATTCGCCACATCTTTGTACAAACTTAATTTGTAAACCAGTCTATTTCCATGTACCCTGCAACGGGGTTACACGAACCCTGATAACAAGGGCGTGTGTGTCACACGAGATGTGTATGGTGTGACCACACCCAAACAGGAATACGGTACGGGGCTAGGTAGCCAGTGGCTATGCATGTATTTAGATTTTACTATATATATTAAGTATATTTAGGAAAATCTAAACTACTCAAATTAAGATAAAAAAGTAAATAGAAATCAGTTTTGAAATCAAACCGAAGAGTCAATTAGCCTTGGGAAGGCAATAATTACTCTTGGAGTAAG